GGGGGGGTTACATTTACATTACCAGTCAAAAGTTTGTGGTTTAGTAAGCTTTTATTTTTTTCAAAATAAAAAATACTTTTATATAGCAAGGATACTTTAAATTGATTAAAAGTGACAGTAAAGACATTTATAATGTCTAAAAATAGAACCAGTATCATGGTTTCCACAAAAATATTAAGCAGAACAGCAGTGCTCAACATTGATAATAAGACATGTTTCTTGATTGATTTCTGAAGGACTATGTGACGCTTAAGACTGGAGTAAATTTTTAAATTGTAATATTTCACAAAATTACTGTTTTTACTGATTACAAATTAATGCAGCCTTTGTGATCATAATAGAATCGTTAACAAAATCTTATAGACCCCAAACTTTTTAACAGCATTGTGTGTGCATTCGGATCCAAAAGTCTGAGACCACTAGTCAAAATGCTTCTAATTTTACATTGTTTTGTAGTTTAATAATATAATTTTCATTTTTTACAAATTTGATTGTCAGCAGAACAGTTTTAAGTGGAAAGTTGAATTGAAAAATTAGTGTAAAGGTTTATTTTTTAATTTTTTTTATGAATGTGTAACACCTTATGGTCATGTTCTACAGATTGAAAAATTATCCAAAGTGCATCTTGTGCTTCAGTGGAAACAAGAACATCTGACCGTCTGTGCGAAGAGACATGATCAGTGACACACATTTACTTATTTCACTATTGATCTAGAAGTAGTTCAGAATCTAAAATATCCCTCCTTCATTTTACGTAATAGTATTTTTTGGTTTCAAGAATACAGAATTTTCAATGAGGTCTTACACTTTTAGATCCCGCTGTACTTTATATGTTGTTGTTTTTGCTGTTTAATCTGTGCTATTTTTCTCTCTCTCTTTCTCTTCATATCATATCATTAGCTAACATCCCAATTTTCCTGCTCCTCATTGAGAAGATCAAGGCTTTGTGGCACTTGCATATAAAATGATTATTCATTAAGCAGCTTCAGAAAGCAGAGGGGAAGGGCTCACACAACACAAACAAACACATGCATTAATCAAGGAGAGAGATAACTAATGAGCCAGTCTGGGATTAGAGACTTTCTCGCCAACCTCCTCTGAATCCCAGAGTGCATCTGAATATTAGAGTCTGAGCTCACTCTCGGCCTTCAGTATCTCTGATTGACACTTCTGATACACTCTCTGTTTCCATTTACCAGCAACACACTCTCAAACACACACGCATCAGACAGGACAACAGTGGTGTGAATGGCATTGAATCATGCTTTCTTTAAGGTGATCTATCAATTTACAAAACAAAACGTATTATTGTCTTTCTATTCTTCCCTAGTGGCCATATTGTCCAGGCTTCAGTTTAATGCGTTGCTACATTATAAAAATCATCACTGCTGGCAGGTTTTTACAAAATTGAATTTTTTATTTTTTTTTATCTCTTCCGTGCTTTCATTCTGTTGGATGTTATATGTTAATTTATGCCGCCACCTTCTTCTTCAATGTTTGTTTGACATTATTTGTTATAATAGGTTCTAAACATATTGGTGTTTGAATTTGATTTGTTTAGATTATCAAAGGAATAGTTCACCCATAAATGAAAATTTGTTAAAACTTTGCTTACCCTCAGGCCATCCAAGATGTAGATAAGTTTGTTTCTTCATTGTTCCAGATTTGGAGAAATTTAACATCATGTCAGTTGCTCACCAATGGATTTTCTGCAGTGAATGGGTGCCGTCAGAATGAGAGTCCAAACAGCTGTTAAAAACATCATAACAATCCACACGACTCCAGTCCATCAATTTACTCTTATCCCGCCAGCATTTTTTTAAACAGTTGCCAGCTGCCGCCAGCATTTTTGATCATTTTCACAAAAGTTTAATGGCCCCCAGAATATTTTGTTACATGAATATCTGAACATGCAATATGCCTCTGCTTTTAAACAAAACAACCTGTTTTATCCTAGCTTTATGCAGACTTTCTTATCAACACTTGAATGTGGGTAAGTTTCATGAAAAAATAAAAATTTTGAACAAAAAGCTGAGAAAATCACTTTTTGTAAAACAGTATGTCTGGATCAGATTCAGAACAATGATCAAAACATAGATGGAATAGATTGCTTCCATCAACACATCCAAAGTTTGCAGGATCTTATACCACTTTAATCAACATTTCATTTGGAAAATTTCGCCAATGGTGGGGAAAGAGTTAATGGCTTGTGAAGAAACAATGGCTTGCGTGTTTTGCAACAAACAAATTAATCATTAAGGCATTTTAACTTTAAACTGTCACTTCGGACCAAAATACCAGTCCATAATCCATTCCATAATAATTTTTCCTCCAGTGAAAAAGTCCATCCCCTGTTGTCCTCTCACACTAAAATTGACCAGTGTATTTGTATAGAAAGGTTTTGACTGTTTTTGCTTGGAAACTCTGTGCATATTTCTCTCCTGATTCAGACAAGATTACTTTTTAAATGAAAAAAAAGCAATATTTTAGATAGAGAACTTATATTTTAGCCGGAAGCAGCGTTTTCAAATAAAAAACAGCTTCATGATGACTTTTTTCCCCCCTACAAC